ATAACATTGTAATTCAATTTAATATTATCACATCAATACACCATATTTTTATATATTAGAGTTATTTACCAATTATTATATTATATTTATATTGTTTATTAGTTTATGGACGTATTTCATGTTCGAGTTCTTAAAAAATATAACTATTATAATATGAAATACMTATTATGAAGAAATTCAATTAATATTATTKAAATTATTTTTATTAACCATCWACATCGATTGCTAAGATCAACATAAAAGTATACAAAACTATAMATTAGTTATTATAAAAATAATAATAACGTGTTTTTCTGTACTATATTATGCTTTGTAGACCTATAATRTTAAAACAATRAAAGGCGAAAATAAAAATTCTGAAAGAATATTATTTATCTATTTTTTGTCTCTTATTAACACACCGTGTACTGGACTCTCTCTTATCGCCCACTCTYCATAGGTCTACTCAAGTGACTTGATGTATTAATTATACATACACGTATGCCATTGTACAAGCGTTATTAATATTCTGGTATTATGGACTTTTACTCGTTTTTAATGTAATATTTTATAAGGTAATATGCAATAACCATATTTTATYTACGGCGGTTTGTTTGTCATTTTATTTACGCTTTCGGTTAAGAACTGGCCGCGGGTCCAATACTCCAGTGGTGCATTTAGTGATTGTGTTGGGAAGAGGAAGCGATGAAAAAAAGTTCTTTTCAAAAAAAAAAAAAACTCAAGAAGTCGATAATGTGGTGTAATGAACAAGAGTCTTTTGTAATCAAAAGTTGTGCTTAAGCATTTTAATCACTGCACCCCATTCTTGATATACCTATCGAATTTCAGATACGCTTGCATAGCGTGGGACGTGACCATTATTATAATTTATATTACACGCACCACAMATTATGATAACATTATATTAAATCCACCGTCAGAAATGGCGGAATTGTAGATCAGATTTTGGTATGAATATTGATATATTATTTTGGTCATGTCTCGTACAAAATATCTAAACTATATCAGTTGAAACTAGACGTAAATAATCAAGAGTCAAGACAACCTAATATCGTTACGATAATGGRTGAAACTTATTAAAATACATAATAATAATAAYTGTTTGATACGTTACCAGTTTGCAGTATGTAAACAGGCGTGGATTCTAAGCTCGCTTCGCTCGATCCGTGCATGTTCTCCGCTCGGACTCTGAACACGTACGACTCACCTGGTGCCAGACCCCGGACAATGTGAGATAACGAGTGACACCTGCRCAGAGATAGATAAAGGAATAGTCGTCACAACACATAACGATATACCTACTGCCATGTAAATAATATAAGAATGTATAATCGAATTAATATATAATAATGGCTTTAGATTTACACGCAAGGTGACAAGTGAATCGCGAAAGAGGAAGGGGAGATAGTTTTTGAGCACACGCCACCACGGGTATCGAATATTATGATTATATAATAAAGTGTTATATAATTGATTTATACAGATATGTGTTTGATTGGATATTAATTCGAAGTCACGACCGTTTTGATTTTTTGACAAGGAAAACTCCCGTAGTAAAAACGTAATAAGATTTATAAGTGTAGACACGCTAAATTTAAAAAGAGTTTTCCCGCTTTCGCCATTGAACAATTATTTGGTATAATATTATGATGACGTCACGTGTACCTTAACGGATTGTGCTCGTTGAATGTTCAAATACGTTTTTTTCCTTTGTATTACTGTGACCTAATGTAAATTATATATTGCTAATATGCTATCGACGACCTTCGAGTATAATGAAGTGTATGATAATTTGTCGTATCGGCAATCAATCGTAATTATGAAAAAAAATATATTTTCTTTTTTGTAAAACTATTACTCGAGAAAGTGAAATAATATATTATAATTCATAATACAAGCGTGGATACTGTAACATGTTTTCAGGCATTTATTGTTTATAAAAAATGTATATTATTAACGACACACGTCTTTTTTAAAATAATAGTAATAATAATATTAGTTATTATTATTATTATTATTATTCGATCGACTGTTTTCCAACCGATGCGTGATTGCGATAATCGGCTGAGGCATAGCGACACGTATGACGTGTACATATTAAGTAGATAGTATTACCTACCTCTGACGAGCAATTTAATATGTAAGTACTAAGTATGATATAATAATATTCAGAATACAACAAACTATACTGCATAATTCAAATTTCTTGTATATAGCTGACCAGAAAAATAGTGGATAGCGTGATGGACCTCATCGTTAATTTTTACATTAAAATCATTAAAAATTACGAATAAAATATTATATAAGTAACCCGTGACATGTATTCGATATAATAAAATGTAAAATATTATTGTTTACTAAATATTATACGTTAGAGACTTAGGGTTTAATAATACAATAYTATTAACGGGGCAGACAGGTAATGGARGATTAAAAAACTCACTTGTCGGCCACTAATTTCCAATCGGACTGATTGAACGGTCGGACTTCCACGCCGTAACCGGTGACCATGCACCCGCCGTCGTACGCCGGACTGGACCACGTTACGTCGGCACTGGTCTCCGACACGGAGACAACAGGTTTGCCGGCTGGTGGGTCCGGAGGTCCTACAATATATGCACCATCAACAATACTATATTATATCGGCTGATAATATAACGATAACAGATTTAACTTAGGTAGGAATATAATATTTTATTGCTGAAAAGAATGAATATTATTGAACGTTCTGTTCTCAGAAGCTACTTCACTTCTTTCAATGGAAGTTATATAGCATGGGACACGGAGGGTGTTTTTATAGCTCTTTAATCAACCCACTGTTTTGGTTCACAAACATTGAATATTTGTTTGCCTGTATGTTTATCGTTGGTTACAGAGATAATTTTTTTTTTTAAAGCCATAAAATAAAACCGCATTGCGTCGCTGTTGGTAAATAAAATAATATTTGATTTGTTATTTGTTATTTTAATGTACTACAAAATGCAAAATTTTCTTATTTTTAAGCGTATGGAATCGAAAACAACAAAACCGATTTTTACGAAAGGTTTAGAGATTCATATTAGAAATGCCCGGAAAGTTTCGAAGTAATCCAACTATGTTAGATATTATATTAAAATGATGGCTATACAATTACGCCTTAACAAATGAATACTTCAACTGAGATACACCAGCAATATACCTATAGCACCGTATTTTACATTTGATTATTTTTTTACGGGCAAAATCAGATTATGTATAAGCATTTAAATAGATTATTTTATAGGTATAATACTTACAGTTTGTGGTGACCGACACGTACTGTAGTTATTACAATAATTTTATAGTATCGTACAAACCGGTTCGAATACCCAGCACGAAGTTATTGAATTAATAATACATTATAATGCGTCAGGTATTATGATGATATGTTGACGAATGACGATCACCTTAGACCATATTAGATAAGATCTAAGACGATCACCTATGTACGAGACACGATACGCAGGACAGCACAGAAGTGAAAAATAAATAATTTTGATATTATAATTGAACCGAGCATGTTCTCGTGATAATTATGTACGCTAATACCACGGTTAGYAGCATAATACACGTCATCATAGAATATATTAGTAGGTATATGCTATAGTGTATATTTGTATACAATAAAAGCTGTGCAGTCGCCAAGTTAGCATACCTGTGAGATAATAATTACTACTTATAACAATAATAATATTATAAACGCATTTAACAGCACATCCCGACGAAAAAAAAAAAAAAAAAACAATAAATATTAAAAGCTTTCTGCACATGCGAATCGAACCGTCGTCGTTGAGTGGCCGTTATTAAAATAATATATTGTTAAACGATGACATTATATTGTCAAGAGAAATTTGTCATTGTGCGTTACACTTATATAAGGTTTCAAACACGATACCTACTCATAGCGTGCGCTTGAAACATAATAATAATAACGTCCCACATGCGTAAGTGCGTAAGTGCGTCTATTATAAGTAGATACATACGATAATACTGCAATGCAATAATAACAATATGTCGTGCGTTATAACAATATGGTTATGTAGTTATATGTGGTTGCGGCCTATCATCATGCTTGCGCGTATCATTATTTCGGTTAGTAGAACACACTGCACGGTATGATAACATTTAAGTCCACATTCGACGCGATAGATTCATTTAGTGATAAATGATAATACAAAATATTTTAATATTATTAAACCGTTCGAGTGGATTAGTGTAAACCATTAGATCGTATAGCATATTAATATTATTGTACAAGTATTATGACTTATGAGTGCAACGATGCAATATATTAAGTTTATCACAGAATACAATATTATTTGTTGATGAAAACAATAATAATCGTGCTGTGTAGTTGCCGCGTGCTTGAATAATAATATTATATCATTCGACGTCCCGGAGGGGGATCATATCATGAAAAAATTCAAAAATAAATGTTCTGACAAATTATATTTTTTTCCGTAAATGCAGTAGGTTAGTTTTTAAAATATTATGAAGTGAAATTTTAAATTTAGAATTTTCGATTCATCATATAAGCAATTCAATAATTGACATGCGGCTCATCATGCCCCTCGTAGAATGCTCACATATTATCGGTGAAAATAAAAC